CAGACTTCTTGACGAAGAGTTTACCTTCTAGTCGACTGAAGGAACTTTTGAACCTCTCAGGTTTGAGGGCAAATAAAAAAATTTTTTTTTGAAACCTGTGAGCCTGTGAGTTTGGTATTAATATTCTTTAAGAACATGTGTTGTTTATTATTGAATAATAACAAATGATTTTCATTCTACTCATAACATGGGCTTTGTTAAATAAAAACCTAATTTCTTTATCCAACTTTTATTGTTTTTATTTGTAACTTTTACTTGATGTCAGTAGTAATAATTTTGAGTTGTGTAAATTTATTAGTTATAGTATTTTTTAAATTTTTTATTATGACCACACTCCTATCCTTGTACGTTGTACTTTTTAAGATGTTTATGAGTTAATAAAGAATTTGAATTTGAAAAGATTACCTTACTTCTCTATGTATCACAAAATATTTAAAATTGGTGAGGTTTTAAGTGCAGTTGAGTATGCATGAAAAGAGTCAGAGATTTTGACTTTTGATTTTGGTAATGGGGACCTAGGTGAGTGTAAAAACCCATGTCCAGGGGTGGTCGACAACATAGGGGTGGGGGCCCAAAGTTGCGAAAAACGTTAATCAGAAAATCGCTTTTAACTCCCTTGTTATTGAACGTAAGTGAAAGATTCATTTAAACTGACTTTTGATTTTATTAATAGGGGCCTAGGTGAGTGTAAAAACCCATGTCATCACCTCCAGGGGTGGTCGAAAACATAGGGGCGGGGGCGCAAAGTTGCGAAAAACGTTTATCAGAAAACCGCTTTTAACTCCCTTGTTTTTGAACGTAAGTGAAAGATTCATTTAAATTGACTTTAGATTTTGGTAATGGGGACCTAGGTGAGTGTAAAAACCCATGTCGTCACCTCCAGGGGTGGTCGACAACATAGGGGCGGGGGCGCAAAGTTGCGAAAAACGTTTATCAGAAAACCGCTTTTAACTCCCTTGTTATTGAACGTAAGTGAAAGATTCATTTAAACTGACTTTTGATTTTAGTAATAGGGGCCTAGGTGAGTGTAAAAACCCATGTCGCCACCTGTAGGGGTGGTCGAAAACATAGGGGTGGGGGCGCAAAGTTGCGAAAAATGTTAATCGGCAAACCGCTTTAACTCCCTTGTTATAGAAACGTAAGTAAAAGATTAATTTAAATTGTCCTTTTATTTTAGTAATAGGGGCCTAGGTGAGTAAAAACCCATGTCGTAGCCTCCAGGGGTTAAAGTTTCAAGTCTCTATCACGTGTCTAAATGGTTAAGAAACTTTCACTGAAGTAAGTCACTTTCAAGCTTATTCCCCATTAGAATAACATGGGAAACCGTTATAGCCTCGTAACAGTGTTAGAATCTTTCAAATTTTGACATTAACTTACATTTTAGGGGTGAAGGAGCTGAGAAAAATATGTAATGATTAAAATTTAAAGTAAACTAAGGAGAGTATGGTACAAAGCATTAATAATAATAAAAAAATAATTATCTAGTAAAAAGTAGCGAAAACCATAAAAAATTGAACAAAATTTACCAATTTTTGAAAGTAGGGCGTTTTTTAGAGGTGAAGGGGTGTGATTTTCGGAAAACGTCTAGAAGGGTTTTGTAGAAAATTTAATTCCTGATCATGAACGTTCTTTTAAATCTTTTCTAGCTCTTACCCTTTTTGAGTTAAAGGTAGCCGTTTTAAAAAACGTGTTTTTTTTCGTTTTTAGACGTCCACCATTTTGGATTTTTGGTCGGGTTAAAATTTTAAAATGGGACTTTTGGGAATTTCACCGTTAATTTTGGATCCCATACTGCAATACCACCAAATTTCAAGTCTCTAGCACGTTTCTAAACGAATCAGATGAGCATACCAAAGTCTTTAAATTTCATAGTTATTCTTCGTAAGAATAACATGGGGCTCGTAAAAGTGGTAAAAACCTTTCAAATTTTGACATTAAACGAAAGTTTTGAGAGTCAAGGAGTAAAGTTACGAAAAAAAATTTAATGGGTAGAATTTAAAGTAAACTAAGTTAAATATAAAGGATTAATAATATTTGCAAAACAAAATTCTTAGGTAGAAAAAAATAGCGAAAATCATATTAAATTTGAAAGAAATTTACCAAATTTTGAAAGTAGGGCGCTTTTTGAAGGTGGAGCAGTGCGATATTCGAAAAACGCCTATAGGCCGAAGTGCTTTTTAGAAAATTTAATTCCTGATCATTTAAATTCTTTCAAATCTTTTCTAGCTCTAAACGTTTTAGAGCTATAGCCATAAAAAACGTGTTTATTAGTTTTTAGGTGTCAGTAATTTTAGATTTTTTAAGGGGGTTAGAATTTGAAAATGGTACATTTGCAAATTTCACCGTTAATAAGATTAATCAATTAATAATAAGATTAATCAATTAATAATAAGATTAATCAATTAATAATAAGATTAATCACGTTAATTAAGATCCGATACGACAATACTACAAAACTTCAAGTCTCTAGCACGTTTCTAAACGGTTCAGATGAGCACACGAAATCGACCACTTTCAATGCTATTCGCCGTAATAATAACATAGAGGGGAAATTCAAGATTTCTGGGGGGTTAAAATTTGAAAAAGTCATTTTTCAGAATTTTCCCAAGGGTTTGGGCCCAAGACTAAGAAGCGTGCCGAATTTCAACTCCCTATCATCCTTGAAGTGCTCAAACATTTTGTATACCTGAGTCAGATACATATGCGGCTGTATAATGTATGCACATGTGCCCCCACCCCTGGAGGCGACGACACAGGATTTTACACTCACCTAGGCCCCCATTACCATGATAAATACCCCCGCCGCAGCAAACCTGCAGACTAAGCGAATTTCCATTTGCCTGATTGGATTTACACTAAAATGCCTCCTTAAATATATCACATTTATTCCCTATTTAAATAGAATAAGTTTAACGAGTACTTAGGTTTGCTGCAACAGGGAGGGTGATAAAAAAGTGTTTTACGCCACACTACATTATTTTGACGAACTTCCCACGCAAGGATTTAGTCCAGAAAACAGCTGTTTGCCGCCAGCTTATTCAAATGGGGTTTCATTGCGTACTACTGTGCTGCAATGAGTTTTGCCGGACACCAATCAGCTGATTAATTTAGGTGGCAGTGAGTAGTTATAAACAAAAACAATGATTAGTGATTTTTAGTCCTTTAGTTGGTGGAAATATATCAGGATTTGTACGGATTTAGTAGTATGGCGTAAACTATCGTACGTAACTCGTCCAAAATGTGTGTACCGGACTCGTATGGTAATCCCGTACTCGACTTCGTCTCGCACGGGAACGACCACACTCGTCCGGTAAACACTTATTTTCAGGACTAGTAACGTAATATACTATTTTTTTTGTAAAATGTTAATAGTTAGTAAGAAATAAAAACATTTTCCAAATTTGATCAAAATATGTTCATAAAGAAGCAAACTACAACAGTTGGTTTATTCTCCATAAGAATAACATGGGAATTTTAAATTTAAAATTTTTTGGAATTTTCTCCGTATAGGCGCACAATAACGTTTCAGTATACTAAATTATTTGTTTTTTTAAGCTCTACAAAATGGTTTAGAAAGAAATTGTGAAATTTTGTGTTTTTATGGTCAAAAATGGGAAAAACCTATTTTTACCCCATAAAACCCCCCATAAACCCCCCCCCCCCCGTTCCCATAGTCCGATCATGCTGGTTCGCGAACTCGTTCGAATAAATGTAGGTTTACACGTTTATACCAAATTTCAACAAAATAAGATCATTTTTGCTCGAGTTATCGTGCTAACGGACACATATATATATATATATAATACTCCTTTTACGTTGTTTAGCATTGTTTAAATGGAAAAAGGTGGTCATACATTACGAAAACAACTAGTTTCTCTGTTATTATTTATCCAATCTTAACAAATAAGGTATCATTGAAGACTACATAAAATTTACAAACTTTTTTGTCTCTTGCACTTTTTTTGTAATGTTAACGGTTTTCGTGAAATTTGGCATCAAATATTTTAAATGGCCGCCATTTTGAAACGGTTAATGACTTTTTAGTATAATTTCTAACGATAAAAGGTCTTAATAAGATAAACATTTTTGTAAAATATCAAAGCTGTATCTCAAACCGTTTAGGAGTTATTAGTTTTTTTTGTAAAAAACACATAAATACCGACAGTCGGTAAACTAGACACCACAGACCCATGTTCCTATGGTGAAATGTGTTTGTCTTGACCTAAGGAATAACGCTATATACGTATGTCCAGAGAGTTACGGGACACCCTGTATATATATATATATATGAATTTGAACGGATGGTGTTTTTGGCCTCTAGGACCTCAAAAATAAAAAATAAATCGGTCCCGGGTCCAGGTCTTACCATGAGTACTACGGTAATAGCTTATTCCCTATATGGGAAATTCGCTAAAAGTAAAATTAAATGAATCTTTTACTTGCGTTTAATAACAAGGGAGTTAAAAGCGGTTTTCTGATTAACGTTTTTCGCAAATTTGCGCCCCCACCCCTAAGTTGTCGACCACCCCTGGAGGCGACGACATGGGTTTTTACACTTACTTAGGCCCCTATTACCAAAATAAAAAGTCAATTTAAATGAATCTTTCACTTACGTTCAATAACATGGGAGTTAAAAGCAGTTTTATGATTAACGTTTTTCGCAGCTTTGTGCCCCCACCCCTATGTTGTCGACCACCCCTGGAGGTGACGACATGGGTTTTTACACTCACCTAGGTCCCCATCACCAAAATCTAAAGTCAATTTAAATGAATCTTTCACTTACGTTCAATAACAAGGAAGGTAAAAGCGGTTTTCTGATTAACGTTTTTCGTAACTTTGCGCCCCCGCCCCTATGTTGTCGACCACCCGTGGAGGCGACGACATATATTTTTACACTCACCTAGGTCCCCATTACCTAAATCAAATGTCAAAATCTCTGACTGTTTTCATGCATACTCAACTGCACCTAGCGCCTGTACTAAAACTCTTTGTTTCTCTAGGCAGGGAACACAGACAATCCCCTAGTGGAGAAGTTGGTCAGGAAACTTCCCTACATCAGGCTACCGGGCTCGTCAATCACAGTGAACGCTCACGAGGCACTCGAGTGGCTCGAAGAACTTGGGGAACCTCGGAACTACTTTGCGTATCCCGGATCTCTCACCACTCCACCCTACACAGAGAATGTTATGTGGATCGTCTATCCTCGACCTGTCAGCTTGTCTTCCCGACAGGTGAGGCATAGTCCCGATTCCAAGAACTGTTAGACACTGAAGACATTTCATCTCGCAAGTAGACTTTTGAGCCTGTTGAAAAATCTTAGGGTTTTGTCCTGGGGTTCATGTCAGTTTCATCTTTGACGATTGATAAAAGTATTTTCAATTTCCATGTATAGTATTATAAAAATACTAGTGGCCTGTAGGGGCCATAGCCCCTAATTTAGACACAATTGTGAATATGAAGGCAACTTCCCATTTCACGGTAGTAAGTCAAATATATCTATGAATTTGTCCCTGAATTTTAAAACAGTAAGGCTCATTTCAGTAATCTCTTTTCGTGTATCGGAAAGCGACGCAAAAGCCATTGCACTGTTGTATTGCCTTTTGTTTTTTATGTAGTTAGAATCATGTAAAAAACAGCTCTTTTAGTTTGTTATTTACTTGTGGTTGTGGCATGTTAATGAGTCCATTGTGGCAACATACGTTGAAATCTCGATTTGTGGCCTCCTCTGCGAAGTGAAATGCACCACAATGCATGCAAGTGCTGTTAAGAGGGCCTAGATTGTAAGAAACAACACTCAACTCATTTTCCAGCGTTCTTTTGGCATAGTTAGGCCTTACATGACATTCTCCTTCAGCATTTCTTGTGTCAGTTGAATTCCTGGATCCTCTTCCATGTCTTGCAGGTCTTCCGAATTTATAAAAAGTTTACTAATCACTCATTAGCTCTCAATAACCTCATTGTCTGATAAAACCTAAAACCAAATTGGTACAAGTCTAAACATGCCTATTTTTACAGGTGGAAGCTTTCCGTAACATACTATCCAACAACTACCAGTTGCTCAGGAAAAATATAAGACCAGTACAGTCTTTCAACAGCCGACCTCTAATTTATGCAGTTTAAATAGTGTAAACATTATGTAAATAGTTTTTGTAAATAAATAATATGCTATTTATTTCACATAATTTGTTATTTATAGTCCCTATCTAATTGTTTAATTTTATTTGGAATTTACAATTTTACAGTTACTAGGCCAACAGTCACACAAAATATTTTTTTATCTGAGGGTACAATTTTAAGAAAATCTTTCATGTTAAGCTAAACATTTTACTAAAAATTGCTTTAAGAATGACTAGGGAAGAAAAAAAACATTTCCCATAAAAGCATCTATTTTGATATTGGATCCCTCAGGTAGACTTTTCATCCTGTGAAAAATCTGAAGCATGTTTTGTCCTGTTTCATTTTATGTTTTCATCTTTGACTTTTGATAAAAAATATATTCAATTTTCTTGTACTGTAGTTTTAGAAAAAACATAAGTAAAGTAGGAAGTATACCCAGGCTATGATCTGTTTGAAATGAAGAGCTTAGAGTCAGCGGGATGTACTAATGCTGACATTTCTCCACAAATTGGTCAATGGAAAAAAGATAGGATTAGATAAGAAAAAATCTTTATTTCCATTATATATTCTTTTGGATACATTGGATATGTCAGTTTACAATATTTAATTTAATTTATACAATAGCAAAAATGAACATAGGGCTCGCCTATCTTCAAACAAAATCATTGTAAGTCCATTTTCCTATCAAATATTCATCAATTAAATAAAATGCTTTTGCAAGCAAGAACCTGGTTACAACAGTTTTAAATTTATTACAGTATTTAATGTTCATGTCCCTAATAAGAAGGGGTAAATAGCTCATTAAATAATCTAATGGCTAGTACAGATGGTTTTTTCATTGATTTACTTAGCCTTAGCCTAACATAAGGCAATTGTAAGTCGTATTTTATTCTAGTGTTGTAAGAGTGTACGCCATTATTATGCATCAAATCTGGTTGATTTTTAATGAATAGGCTATCAAGTTTTGTAGAACAAAGGCAGTGTAGAGTTAAAATTTTAAAATGAACAAAAGTTTTATAATGAACTCCTGCAATGTTTCGGACAGCATGTTTTTGTATAAAATCATCTTTTGATGCCGAGGCACTGCCCCAGACGATCAAACCATAAATAATCCAAAATGGGCTATTCTAACTAGCATTTTATGTCACGACACCACAGAGTCGTCTTAGAGCAAAAACCTCACAAGCCAATCTCATGCTTACTTCGGAGATGAATGATCCAACCAAGAATGAGTAGGATCCAGCCGAACACCAAGGAGCTTGGTTGAAATGCCCCCCTCTTCCCCGGTCAGACCCCTCAGGCCAAAAATCAGTGGTGATTTTTTTTCTCTATTCAAAATCAAATTGTTTGCATCCAGCCAGCCACTAACCTTGTTTTAATTTTCCTGGATGTCAACATCGGCCAATTTTTTTATTTTGTTTCTAGCGATCAATGTGGCGTCGTCTGCATACATGAAAATTCCAGATGACACATTAACTTCTACATCATTGATTAACACTAAACAATAGTTTGCTTGTTTATGAACATACTTTGATCAAATTTGGAGGATGCATTTATTACTTACTAAGATATTAACATAAAAAAACCACTCTATTACCCTCCCTCTGTTGCAGCAAACCTAAGTACAGTAATCGTTAAACTAATTCTATTTAAATAGGGAATAAATGTGATATTTTCAATGAGACAGTTTTCAAGTTGACAGTTACTTAAATGAGCTAGTTAACTGTCCAACCCCGCACCTGAGAAGAGTTTAATTTTAAACCAGTTATTCAGTCTGATGTTTTGATGTCCATCCGCAGAATCCGAAGCAATGCTGTCGGTTCTCTATATGTAGAAAGACCAGTTGCCTTTGCTTCGCGAACTTTGCAGGAATCGGAAAAGCGATACTCATCAATTGACAGGGAAGCACTTGCTTGTGTGTTTGGAGTGATCAAATTCCACCAGTATCTTTATGGCAGACATTTTACCTTAAGTAGTGACCACAAGCCTTTAGAAAGAATTTTTGGTAAACATCTGGATTTGACCAAGACAGGTTAACAGGTTGGTTCGATGGGCTATTTTCTTTAACAAATATGACTTCGATATAAAGTATATAGAAGGTAGGAACAATGTGTTGGTGGATGCACTCTCTAGACTGTCCAGCAAGTGTGACCAACCATCAAGAGAAGAGTTGTCTGCAAAACTACTGGTTCAGGAAAAGATAGATGATATGGCTCTGACAACAAAGGAACTGCAAGAAGAAACTAGAAAAGATGAAACTTGCAGGTGTGTGATGATGTTTTTATGGAATCACAATGGCCATAAAAGTTGCCTAATGATCTTTTGTCTTTGTCTCCTTTTTTTCACAGACGAGAAGAACTTTCTTCTGTGAAAGGAATTCTGATGTGGGGAAATAGGATAGTAGTTCCACAGATCCTTCAAAAGAAAACTCTACGTGTATTTCATCAAGGACATCCCGGAATTAAAGCTATGAGGAGTCTGTCAAGGTACTATGTGTGGTTGTGCAAGATTGACGAAGATATAGAAGAGTATGTGAAGACTTGCAATGGGTGTCAGATGAACCGTCCAAGGGAACCAGAGGTACCTCAGTACTCGTGGATTGTACCAGATGGTCCTTGGGAAAGTATACACTTGGATTATGCTAGGCCATTTGATGGGTGGGATTGGTTAGTTGGTGTAGATGCATTTTATAAATGGCCAGAGATATCAATGGTTAGATGGATTAAAGCTGCCAGTATGATAAACAAGTTATGGGAATGGTTTTCTCGCTATGGAGTTCCTAGGATGATTGTCATGGACAATGGGACGCAGTTTACTGCAAAGGTCTTTGAGAAGTTTTGCAAGGATAACGCAATAAAACATGTCTGCAGTACACCGTATCATCCGAAGACGAATGTCCAAGTTGAACGGTTCATCAAAACCTTCAAATCAAGATATTTGTCCAGTAAGGTTGACAGGCAAGATCAAGCTATTGTTTGCCTACAGAAACACACCACAAAATCAACGAGCAAACTTCCTTCAGAACAGTTCTTCGGCAAAAGACTTCGATCTCCATTGTACAATTTAAAGCCCACGTGAGGTTTAATTTAGGACATTTTAAATATCACATCTTTAACCGTGGGCTTTTAACAGAATCTGTTTTCAAACAAAAGGAGTATCATGATGGAAAAAGTAGACGTATGGAATTTTCTAAAGGGGGAAGAAGTCTGTGTGCAGAGAGAAATAGGTGCCGGCTGAACTCCAGGAGTGATTAAATCAAGAACTGGTTAGCTACCCTACCAAGTAATGGTTGGTGGACTTCTGAAGCGAAAACACGCAGACCAACTACGTAAGAGAAGTGGAGCTTTATCTGAAGGGGGAGAAGTGTGATATTGGATCATATGTTTAATGGTATTTTATTCATCGTCTTGTTGAAAGCATGGTAAACGTTGTTGTTATGATGTTTTGTGTAAGTGTTGAGATGGCATCAAGATTAAAATGTTCTTTCTTTAAATAGTTTGTTTTTATTTTTTGTGAATATACTATAAAGACTTAATGTAAATGTGATTTAGTATAGTAACTAATCTCTTACCACTTGTGTAAATCATATAATGCACAAGCTCTTAAAGCATAAAGTAAAGGCTTTGATATTTTTTTCTTGCAAACGCTTAAATATAGCCTTTGAAACTACATATATTATCTAGCCTAAAGCCATATGTGAGAGTATTCAGAGTGTTTATGTACAGCGTTTAACACTTTCTCTTGTTTACGTTTACAGTACATTTTAATACATTTCTAAAAGTAGATTTATTAGTGGAATTCATTGGTTTCAAACACATTTTTTGTAGTCCTAGCACAAAAATGTGTTTAGGTGTATTTAGAATGGTTTTCAGATGACAAGAATGATAACAAACCGCTGTATAGCCTATAGCATACAATGTTATTACGTCTATCATTTGTTTTATTCCATATCTTAGACTATATTTTATATTATCATGGAAATCGTACATTTGTATGCCTTTATTTGATAGTGCACTTATGAGGTCTCTCTCCGGTGTGCACTAACGTATGTTTCTTCACAACGCTACTGGTTTGGAAGGATTTTCCACATATGATGCACTTATGAGGTCTCTCTCCGGTGTGTACTAATGTATGTTTCTTCATATCGCCACTGGTTTGGAAGGATTTTCCACATATAGTGCACTTATGAGGTCTCTCTCCTGTGTGTACTAATGTATGTATCTTCATATGGCCTCTGGTTTGGAAGGATTTTCCACATATAGTGCACTTATGAGGTCTCTCTCCTGTGTGTACTAATGTATGTATCTTCATATGGCTACTGGTTTTGAAGGATTTTCCACATATAGTGCACTTATGAGGTCTCTCTCCGGTGTGTACTAATGTATGTTTCTTCATACTGCCACTGGTTAAGAAGGATTTTCCACATATAGTGCACTTATGAGGTCTCTCTCCTGTGTGTACTAATGTATGTTTCTTCATACTGCTACTGGTTTTGAATGATTTTCCACATATAGTGCACTTATGAGGTCTCTCTCTGGTGTGCACTAACGTATGTTTCTTCATAACGCTACTGGTTTGGAAGGATTTTCCACATATAGTGCACTTATGAGGTCTCTCTCCGGTGTGTACTAATGTATGTGTCTTCATATTGCCACTGTTTGAGAAGGATTTTCCACATATAGTGCACTTATGAGGTCTCTCTCCTGTGTGTACTAATGTATGTATCTTCATATGGTCACTGGTTTGGAAGGATTTTCCACATATAGTGCACTTATAAGGTCTCTCTCCGGTGTGTACTAATGTATGTTTCTTCATATTGCCACTGTTTGAGAAGGATTTTCCACATATAGTGCACTTATGAGGAGTCTCTCCTGTGTGTACTATTGTATGTATCTTCATATAGTCACTGGTTTTGAAGGATTTTCCACATATAGTGCACTTATGAGGTCTCTCTCCGGTGTGCACTAACGTATGTTTCTTCATAACGCTACTGGTTTGGAAGGATTTTCCACATATAGTGCACTTATGAGGTCTCTCTCCGGTGTGTACTAATGTATGTTTCTTCATATTGCCACTGTTTGAGAAGGATTTTCCACATATAGTGCACTTATGAGGTCTCTCTCCTGTGTGTACTAATGTATGTATCTTCATATAGTCACTGGTTTTGAAGGATTGTCCACATATAGTGCACTTATGAGGTCTCTCTCCGGTGTGTACTAATGTATGTTTCTTCATATCGCCACTGGTTTGGAAGGATTTTCCACATATAGTGCACTTATGAGGTCTCTCTCCTGTGTGTACTAATGTATGTATCTTCATATGGCTACTGGTTGTGAAGGATTTTCCACATATAGTGCACTTATGAGGTCTCTCTCCGGTGTGTACTAATGTATGTTTCTTCATATCGCCACTGGTTTGGAAGGATTTTCCACATATAGTGCACTTATGAGGTCTCTCTCCGGTGTGCACTAACGTATGTTTCTTCATAACGCTACTGGTTTGGAAGGATTTTCCACATATAGTGCACTTATGAGGTCTCTCTCCGGTGTGTACTAATGTATGTTTCTTCATACTGCCACTGGTTAAGAAGGATTTTCCACATATAGTGCACTTATGAGGTCTCTCTTCTGTGTGCACAAATGTATGTTTCTTCAACCTGACATTGGTTGTGAAGGATTTTCCACATATAGTGCACTTATGAGGTCTCTCTCCGGTGTGCACTAATGTATGTTCCTTCAAATTACTACTGCTTGAGAAGGATTTTCCACATGTACTGCACTTATGCGGTCGCTCTCCTATGTGAATTAATGTATGTTTCTTCATACTGCCACTGGTTCGGAAGGATTTTCCACATATGTTGCACTTATGAGGTCTCTCTCTGTTGTGTAATAATGTATGTATCTTCATATTACTACTGCTTGAGAAGGATTTTCCACATGCAGTGCACTTATAAGGACGCTTATCAGAATGAATTAACAAATGATTCTTAACATGAAATAGCTTAATAAATGTTTTCTCACATGTTAAACATCTAAAGGGACGCTCGCCAGTGTGTAAGTATATATGAGACTTCATTCTTGATAGAGTTGAAATAATTTTTCTACATATTGGACACTTAGGGCGAGGCTTTTTAGTGACCTTAAACATTTTTTGTTTTCAATTTCCTACTTATAACTTATTAGACAAGCTAGAAACTAATTGGAATTAGTCAGCTGGCTTTTTATGTCTTTTTTTTGTAGGATTTGGTGTTTAACAGTTATGTGTATTAATCAAATTTGATCAACCTTTTGCTCAAATATTGTTATGTTTATTAAATACAATACAACATAGCCTACTTGAGGCATTTTTCTTGACTTTTATATTCAATCATAATAAATTAGTTGACTTATTTAAAAGAAAAAATGATTTCTAAGTTTCATGTTATTTTCCAATAGTAATGCATCAGCCATTAATTAAAATTCAAGTTTTACTTAGTAAATGACTTACTTTCATTTGTACCTTTAGCGTAGTAAAAACTTAATCTTTTTAACCGTTGTTTTAAGTATCTTTAATACTTTGCATATGTAAATTATCTTTTTTGCTACATGAATTGAAGTTTCTTTTCTTCTTCAAATCTATTGCCTCTCCTGAAAAAGATCATATTTGATTAAATATATACATTTGTTGTAATCATTTAGATAGATTGTTTTTAATTTGGTCTAAACAATAATTTCAAATCAATACTAAAATTTATACTAAATCTATAGCATAAGCATTATTATAATGCAAAATTAGAATCATAAATGCAATTACAATTTATATTGTCTAAATTGGTATGTTACCGGGTGTCCATAAAATATTCAATGGGTTTTAAAAAACTTTATTCAACTGACGATACATGAATGCTAGCCAGCCTATTAGTAGCTGGATCTTTTTGCGATTTCTTTCTCTGGGGCTATGTGTATCACACGCCTGCTATTAGCTTAAACGGTTCGTGACAACTCCCAGTTATTGTTACGTGGGGAGTGAATGTTTAGTCGACTCGACGGCTGAAGAACGACTGACAAGTTTGTGCGCTTCTCCTTCTCGAGCGGTCCTCTCCTACCGCCCCTGGCGTCGGGGTTGAGAACTACTGTCATCCCCTCCATATCACGTCACTATGTCCAGCGTTCGTCACGGCCTTTTCGTGAAATAAATCAACGTATTTGGGATGGACCCGAAATATTACCCCTCGTAAAAATTTGACCAATTACAAGGTTATAGAATATAATTTATAGTACGCTGTGCATCATTGTTGGTTATCTAGATATAAATAGTTGGGTTTTTAATGACCATTTATAGAATTTGCACCCGATTTTTCTCATTATACTCAAAATTTGACGCTGATCCCATAAATGACATTCTTTTCCACGAAAAACGACAACAAACCCTTAAAACAAGAAAAATTATATGATTTTTTTTATCACTTTAAAAATGGGGGTATTCAAACTAACCGGAATAACAAGGAGAAATGGAAATTCGCTTAGTCTGCAGGTTTGCTGCAACGGGGGGTGTTTTCCATTGTAATATTTACGCCAACCCAGATTCAAATAGTAAATATTTATTTTCATTCAAGTAAGTAAATGTTAGTAGCAAACTGTTAAAATGGCAAACTTATTGACTGTTCTGTTTACAATAAAAGAGTTTGGCGGAACAAAAACAAAAAAACACGATCAGCTTTTGAAAATGATAAGATATTTGTAACAAGAAATTTTGATTATATTGATCTGTTATGTACATAGTGAGTATTTCCATAATATTTTAGTCGACTGTTCTAAAGTCATCGGAAATTGTTAATGTTATTCTTTTTAAAATAACGCCTGTAATACTTTGCAATTGCTCGAATTCGCTATGGGTAAGCTATTACCAGGTCTCATGGTATGACCTTGACAAGGGACTGATTTAATTTTTGGTTTTTATGTCCCCAGAGGCCAAAAACACCATCCGTTAATGGTGTTAAACACATTTTAAATCCTCAAATCTATATTATAATATAAGCTCGTTCATTCTATCCAACCAAGCTATTTATTTGGTGTTTCCGTTATTTTATTGACTTATATTAACGACTATTTAAGTTATTGCCCGTTAAAACCTGGAGTATTTAAAGTTATTTTGAAACACTATCAATTGTTTTTTATAATAAATACTAACTTATTTTCCTCTTTTCAAGCTATGATTAATGGTGAAGATAGTCAAGTTTCTTGGTTTGGAGATACCACTAAACCAATTACTAACCAATTACCAATAACCAATTACAATAGATAAAACAATAGATAATTACAATAGATTGGATTATGTGTGTCGTCTGCATATAGAACTGTTTTACATAGTAAGTTTTCTAGTAAGTTTTTATTTAAAAAGTCGAGTATTTCAAAGTGGTTTTCAGTAAAGTGCGCAGGATAGTAATCAATTAAGTAAGTTCTATTAACTGCAACAAACACTCCAGAAATTATTGGTTTATATTGTCAAAAACGTAATATTTAAAACTTACCAGTTTTTCCATTTTAAAAGCACATGTTTTCACTCTACAAGTTTTTCAATTTTAAAGACACTTCACAACAAATTTTATTGAAGGGACATTTCAGTAGTCAAGTTGACCACCTATACACAGTTACAAGTAGTTGAAAAACTAACTATAGACACTAAAAAATAAATATTAAAACTGAAGACAGGAAGGAAGCAATCTGTTTTGACCTCAGTAGAAACTTTCCTGTTCTATTTGGACTGTACAGACTCATAACCCCACCACCTCCACCACACAGGTTCATTGATGGAATCAGCAGACGTCTTATCACTGGTTGATTAGCAAATGTAAACAAACCCTATGCCTGGACTTATCTCTACAGCTGTGTCTATAGTCTTGCTGGAATATAATTTCAATAGAAACACTTTTAAATAATCTGTACTGCAATTCACTGATTGCTATTAGGCTATTTTATTTTTTATACAAAGATACATTTTTAATCAATTAAAAAATATTGAACTTGATGGATCAAATAAGTAGACATTAGTTGTTTATGTACACAATTTTTCATTGTACAAACAATTATGGTAACAATTAAAGAAAACATTGATGAACTGCCAAAAGGATGGTTGAGGGAGGAAGTAATTATAAAAAAAGGAATAAATAAGGGAAAAATAGACATTTATATAAAATCTCCAAGGGGAAAAGTGTTTAGATCCCGTAAGGAGCTAGCAGCATATATAGAGCAACATAAATTGCCATATAAGATTGGAGATTTTAACTTTTCAACTAAGAAAAAAGTCAAACCGTTTTTAGAAGAATCTGTACTAACACTCGCAACTGACAATGAAAGTAACTCAGAAGTGACACAGACTGACAGCTCAGATTGGGACTCTTTCAGTCAACAACCCATTTATACAGAAGCACAAATTGATTCAAGCTTTGTAACACCTCTCTCAAAAAATGGATTACCAGAAGTAAATGGGCCAGTTAAAATATATACAGAATTTCAAGCACAGGAAAGCCAAAAACATATTATGACAAATGACATAGCAATATGTATATCAATATTGGATGGAAATTGGTTGACAGATGATGCTATTCAGGTGTACTTTGATTTATTAAACTCCACTGTTGATCAAAAACTCTTAGTCTACATAATGAATCCAGTTATTGGAATAGCAGCAAAATGCATAGAGGACACAACCAGCATCTTGGAGCCACTGAAGTTGGATACAAAGTCTTATATAATGATACCTGTTAATGATGCGGAGTCTCTTGACACCAACGACATACAGGGTGACTTTAGCTCTGGAACACATTGGAGCTTACTGGTCTATAGTAAAATCGACAACAAATTTTGCTATTTTGATTCTTATAAAGACTATAATCTTAAATCAGCAAAGAAAATAATGGGAAAAATATCCACCCATTTAAAATTAGAAAACTCACACATGGAAGTTTACAAAACACCGCAGCAACACAACACTTCTGACTGTGGTGTTTATATGATTTTAACGGCTGAACACATCTTGAGTAAAATTATTAGAGGACACTCTGATGTGATGACTTTGTGCGATTTCACTGTCAGCGAGCTCGAGGCTTGGACCAAAAGAGCACAGTTGGCTGCAATCATGCGGAATAGAAAAAAAGACTGCTTGAATATCAACAGAATGGTGTCTCAAATGCTGGGCGGATCAAGTAAACCTGAGTCAACAAAACTGGAAGATCAATCGAATAAAAATATAAATATGATTGGAAGTTTGATTGAAGTACAGGAGAAGTACACTCAGACTGAGAGGGAAAATACAATTATCGAAGTCAGTAAAAGTAGAGCTGCACTTGAATGGAATAAGGTTCAAAAGTCAAACAAATATAAAAATAAAGACAAACAAATGAACAACCATGACTCCATCCCTCTGAAAAACAGATATGATTGCCTGAGCCAAGAAGAGAATGAGACACATATAAATAATAATAACTACGATCAAGAAAAAGAGGTCAAGACGAGCAGAAATGGAAACAGTAGGAAGGAACAAAATAAAAAGAAAACTCAATACTCATGGAAGAATCCCAATACAAAACCCCAGAACAGAAGTAGCAGTGAGTGGCCATCAACACTTGTTATTGGGGACTCAATGGTAAAATGTGTCTCTCTTCCCAACACTAAAGTAAGCTGCTTTAGAGGTGCTTGTGCTGTCAACATGGTTGAAAAAATTGATCTTATTTCTAAGGAAGTAAAGTTGCCCAAAACTGTTATTATTCATGTTGGAACAAATGACCTGGATCAAATGAGAGATTCAGAAGACTTAATGGGAGCAATGTCAAATGTTATAAAAAAGACAAAAATGGCGTTTCCAAACTCTAAATTAGTTATTAATGGTATCATACACAGAAGGAACATAGCATATAAACTAAGGTCTCATGCAAATAAAAATATAAGATGGCTTTGTAGGGACAATAAGGCTATTTTCCTAGATCTCGAGAAATATATTAATGACTCTTGCTTGGGAAGAGATGGAGTTCATCTGAACAGGAAAGGAAATTTTATTTTAAGCCGCGTTATTAACGGGGTGATAAATATCTGTGAAGGGAACAACCAGCATATGCAAAACATAAAGAAGATCGACATAAGCAGATCAGATTACAAAGGTCATAAATTGTCAACAAACTGCCAAAACACTATAAAGATTGCTGAAACACACATTAAGAGCATGTTTGAGGAATATCAACTCGATAAAACAGTTGCATTTGCACACTGTGCCTCTAGGGACCTAGAGGACGACAAAAGTATGAGTGCTGGTATTGCTACAGTGTTTAGAAGCCATTTTGGAAAACCGCAAAGATCACATTGCTTAAACAAACATTTAGCATGCCAGGAAGTAGGCAAAGGACCGGTTGTATACACATTGTTGACTAAAGACAAGTACTTCAATAAACCAACTAAGGAAGATTATGATTTAGCATTTAAAAATTTGGCAGTGGACTTTAGTAAAAAAGGTCTTAAGTGTTTACTTTGTTCCCCAATGGGGTGTGTAAGGGACAGAATTTCTCTGGAACACTTTATTGATAACTTAATTTCTTTTCAAATGAACACAGAAGCTGAAGTAAAAATTATTGTTAACAACAGTAAATCTAGCAGAT